TCTGTTGACATAAAATCGTTAAACATGTATTCATTTTTTTGTTATTTAAACAAACCCTTCTTATACCATGCAGCTTGCCAAAAGGAAAAAGTTAGAGTTTAAGAATCGACAAAATTTCAAATTAAAGGTGCTTTTCATTTGTAATATATCTTTTGTTCTTATTTTACGCTATTTTCTTCCGATAATAAGCATCTTAGATTATTAAAACATCATACAATACATGCCTGTCTTTTCTACACAAAGAAACAATGTTCTTTTCCGAGGCTTTATATTCTTTCATACTGGTATTTTGGAACTAATCTTATTAAACGTTAGTAAACATGCAGGCAACAGAGATGTATAGCTTTATACGCTTTCAGGATGCAGAATCATGTGTTTGTTAAATCCACCGCAGATATTTGTGACGAAGTTGGCAGACCTGGCAGTAACAATTCGATATTAGATAAAGCACTTTATCAGTTTCTCAAAACTAGATTATAAGAATGACTGATAAAAAGGAGAGCAGACATGCAGAAGTTTGAAGTTATTCCTGTATAAAATGCTTTCGAGATAAAGTGTACTTTTTCACTGTTATATTAATAAGTGTTGTTATGTTTTCCGCACTTGTATTTGCACACATGTTTTAATATCTTGTAGCTCGATTCCGCGGTATTTTCTATGCTTCACAAAATGAATATATCCCCTTTGTTTTGCATAAAGATGGTTTTATAATGTCCGCCTCCTACCTTACAGTAGTACCTAAAATTTAATGTTTTATCATGACATGTTGATGTATAATGTAATTTATGTCTAATTTATAGGTACAATCAGGTTTAAGTGATAAAATTCATTCATCAAGATAGAATATGCACGTCCCTTTAATGTTCAACTATAGTTTATTTCTTCAGACAGGAAGTTGGACTAAAGCTTTCAGAAACGAAACTCAAAAAATAACAAAACAGTTACGTTAGTAGTTTATGCTGTGTAAGAGTTATACACAAAGTGATCCCTCGGAAGCATCAATCACAACAAAATAACATGGAAATTGCAGACTCGGTTTGATTGAGTCTGTACATGAGGGATAATGAATAAGTGCAAAATCCCTCATGCCCCCTAGCACCGGCTTGAGCGGTACTCAATTCTCAACAATTAATAGTGCTGACACCGACCAGAAATATATAACGCTGAATTTTTTTTTTGAAAATAGTCAAAATACATATTTATAAGTATATTTATAAGTGAATCTGGGCACATATAACTTCAATATTGAAGTATAAAACCGATGAAACTGTTGCAACTTTGTATACAGGCACTCGGAGGTCAGACTGTGACCCCACCTTGCCCAGTCTTTATTAATTCTTAATACATTTTAGCACGATTGGGACATCTATCTCTCTTATCAACCGAGTCTGGTTTGATTAAATTTTCACGTAAATTAGAAGTTCTTTATTAAAACTTGATAGTATATGTTTTGTCTTAGAATGGTTTATGATTAAAATGAAGTTAAAATGATGGAAGTTTCTTAGGACGGGGTTGGTATCATTCGCTTATGTGTGTGACTTTTTATAAACAAGTACTGAAAATATGCAAATAAACGTTTTGGTATAAAGCACTTAGCATTGGTGTTTTGCACAAAGGATCGGACTTAAAATACGACAAAATAGAGAAAATAAGATTCCCTAAAAAAAGCTCAACACGGCAAAATTGAAAATGTTGCAGGCTCGGTTTGAGTGAGCCTATACATGGACGGTACTGTCAAGTGCAAATAACCGACCACATCCCCTAGCACCGGCTTAAGCAGAATTCAACATTTAAAATGAAAAGGTACAATTTTGAATTTTGAAACATTCGCAGATGTGTTTATACATGTTTATTTATAAATGTTTATATACAAAAATAAACATATAAAATTTAACGTAATTTAAATTCTGCATTGCCCAAAACTTATTTTTTATACATGAGATCCACACAAGGAGTTGTACTTCTAAATATATACAGTATGAAAAATGGGCTAAATTGTACCGATAACGGCCTTACATTCATTTTTTCATGACATTTAGTGCACTCATAACCCTAGGAATTGATGAAATTGTGCGGTTGTAACTAACCTAACACCGGTGACAACGTAGGTGTGGGTTGCAACGTTTGTTTTCTCTACAACCAGTTTTTGTTTTATATTCTATGAATCAATGCTAGTTTCAAGTTAACTACGGGAAAAGGAGACGATTTGAGACATCAACAGTTAAGGTAGTATTAGATATATTATTGATAAATAGAAAATACATGGATCAGAAATTTTTCACAACCCGGAACTAAGTTACATTGAGATTTCAATGGAAGTCAAGCAAGTTAGATTAAAGCTATTCAGAATTTCTCACTTACTTATCGTCTAAAGTAACTTCTATTCTAAAAATGAAAAATTTTTGTTTTCATGAAATATTTCTATTTATTATTACTTTAAAATGCAAATAAATGGTTGCCTGTGGATTGCTTTTTACCAATAATATTAATATTTAGATTTCTACTTTCGGTTTCGAAATGGCGAACATACTCGGTCTCTGATAACTGACATGTTTAAACCAGTCATGTTTAAACCAGTGAACAACATATTCATGATATGAATGTATATATCAATGGATTGAATAATTTTTATTTTATTTTAGGTATTAAACTTTAAGTACATTGATCTAAGTTGTTTAATCAGATTAAGCATTCTTTAATTAATTAGGTCAGCCTTTAAAATCTCTTTCTTACCCCTCCCACTAGCTGCGACTCATGCCAGTCAGAGTCGGGTATGTGAAAAATATAATTTATTAAGCATGTCTGAATAATATCGGTTTGTAAAAAAAAGAATGGGTGAGATTTAATGAAATAAACATTACTTTGTTTTATGTCTGAAATATTATATTAATGTGGTAATTTAATTATTCTGTAGTTTCAGTTATCGTTAGTCTTGATAATCTTAGTAATAGAAAGAGCACCGAAACACGAGGCTATCTGATTTGTACGAGGGGCGTAGCCCCCGAGTATTAATCAGATTGCCGAGTGTTTTGGTGTTCTTTCTCTTTTGTATCATAGTCAAACATAAAATCACGTTCCCCGCTGTCACAATATGAAAACCCCGGCAAAAATGAACCCAATGAACGAACATCTGAATATGACATTTCTGTCGCTTTCCCTTTCTCTGCCGTCACAATATGTAAACCCCAGCAAAAATGAGCCAATCAATGGGCATGCTTCTGGAGTGCGGGTAACTAATACCCGCACTCCAGTTAAACGCACTGTGCATGTATATGTATACGATTTAACCCTGACACAATTTCAACAGAAAGGTCTCCAAACTATGATACAAGGAGTTAATACATACATGTACTTAAAAATAAATATCGATACAGTATGTTATTAAAATGAAAGTGGTGTTATGAAATTAATTGGTACACAGTTTAAGTTTTTGTTTCTGTGCATGTAATATTCGGTTTATATTAATTCGTGCTAGACTTAACTGTTGGCTAACTGATTTATCTTTATTTGAATTTGATATTAAATTTTATCATTGTTTGTGATCAATTTTGAATAAAAATACTACAAAACAATTGTTATGTGTTCAATTTAAATTCAATTTAACATGTTTTCCTGTACGATTGATTTTACTAAAGGGTTTCCTCATAATTGTTACACTCAAAAACAATGTCTTATAAACACTGTTGTACAGCGTTCACCGGAATAGCCCCTTAAATCATCAAAAACGAAAGTAAACAGTTGAACGTCGAGTTAACTCAAGGTAATGTTTCAACTTAGTTCTCCATCAGAACTTAATCGATTTTTCCAAACTAAACAATTTTTTTGAAAGCTGAATATGTCTTTGGTATTAGAGCAGTATTTTCTTCTTTCTGCAAATTGAATCCTTTTTGTTAAATTGGCGATAAATTGTAGCGTATTTGTTGACATTTGCGAACGATGCTGATATTTGACCAAAACTTGAAAGCGCATTTTCTGTACCAAAATCCGTCTTTAATACAAAAATATCCCTCTACTTGTATTTGAGTGGGCACCAAAAATCAACACGACCTGCTTTTAGCAAAATTTGCACACAAAAAAACAACAACAAAAAACAAATCTTGCCTTGTGTACAAAGTCTAGCACGGTTGTGTAGATTTGAAAACTGCAGATGGAAAACATTACCTCGTACACCTTTTAACATTCGTTTTCGATGATTTGATGGGCTATTTCCGGTGAATGCTGTACAACAGTGATAACAGTGAACTTGAAAATCCGAAATTAAAAATTTTATAATTACTTACAAAAGTTTTATGCAGTTCTTCGTTGGTTTACGATTGTAACTCTTGTAAGTGGTTTCTCTTAGTTTATAAGTGGTTTCTCTTAGTTTATAAGTGGTTTCTCTTAGTTTATAAGACCCTTTCCTCATCAAGAAAACATATCTTTCTTCTTAACGATTTTCAGACTTTATAGGAAATGGCGAGTGGGAGTCAGAAACAATGCAAGTCAAAAAGTGGCCATATTGTCGTGGCCGCCATGGATTTTGGCACGACCTACTCCGGCTACGCTTACTCGCTGATCCACGAGTATGAGACCGATCCGACGAAAGTATTTGCACACACCAAGTGGGTGGCTGGGTCGCAGCAGTTAATTTTCTTTAAAGGAAAGCCGGGCAAAATTTTTTTTTTTCTTAACCCGCAGGGAAAATCGTTTTTAAATTTGTTTTTGGGTTTCGAGGGGTGAAAAACACTACGGTGACCTTTTCTTTTGGGGGGTTAAAACAAAAAGGACTATTTTTCACTTCCGGAGGGTTTTTAAAAAGCTGCTTTTTTAAAAACGAGGGAATTTAGAACCTAACAGGTTCGAACTCCTATTAATATTTTTTTTTATTGTGGCCATATCTTTATGACTTTATAAACTTTTATAGAATTTGGAAAAACTTTTACTTATGGTTAGTGATATCCTACATTGTGATTTTACTGAGTCGATAACAAAAAGTTGTCCTAGATTCTTTATCAATCTGGATGGGAATATTGTTTCACAAGTTAGCACGTGGAGTCTGATCTTGTGCCATCTGTATATATATACACACATACAGCTTGACTATAAAGGGATCAAATTACAAAATTATTTTATTGTGGAAGACTTCTCATTGTTTTTTCTGATCCTATAAGTGATGGTTATTCTTGACAAGAGTTGATATTCTGACCGTTATTACAACATATTCTTCACAAGTTTACAATATTTGAAAATACAATTAACACCAAAATCCCTATCGTCCATTCTTATTTTCTTAATTATTTAAAAGCATTCCATTGCATATTCTGATGAAGACTTCGTAGGCTGTCATTTATATCATCTTTAATAGAACAATATAGCTGTAAGATGGGAAAGGAAATAAATAATCAGTGTTTGATCGAATTATAGTTGTGTTGAAGGGTTTAAACTTTAAAGCGGACATGATAGTTATATACTTTTGCTAATACAATGTAAACACGAATAATTGAGGAAAAGGGAAAAATTTAAAAAAAGTTTAAAACCAAAATTTATTTCAAAAAAGTTTTAAATTCATTATATTTCCCTTTTAGGGGGCCCAAAGAAGGGGGATATAATAGTTTAGGGGTGATTTAAAAGGAAAAAAGTTAAAGGGGAATCCTCGTGGTTTTGTTGTCAAAAACTAAACCCGAAAGAGCATCTTTTAAAAAAGGCTACAGGCAAAGTGAGTATGCCCATATAATAGAAAAAGGGCTTTCCTTTCCAAATTTCGATAAAAATTTGGGGGCAAATTTTTTACCCCAAGGGGTTGGGCTTGTGGGGAGGGGGGAAAAATTCAATAGCCAAAAAAAAACCCACCGTGGGGTTTTTAAAAACGAATACCCTTTTCTTTGAAAACAATGTATTGGCTTTTTGGGAATTATAACCGTTGAAAACGGGGGTGTAAATGATCATAATTTTTTACTCCCAGGCAAAAACTATTTAAAGAAAAGAAATAATGGAACAAAATGAGAAATCGTTTTAACTTGGTGACAAGAACTCGTGCTAAAATATTCTGAATAGAAAGCTAGTACGTACATTAGTATGTATCAAGTAAAAATGCGGGATCTATATGGTTAGTCGATATTTTGGAGTTCGATATAAAGTGTAATTTTCTGTACTTTTAACTTAATTGGGATCAAAACATGAGTTCCTTATAAGCGATAATACCTTACAACCGTGTCCGCTATAAAAGTAAATTCTTATATTAAATAAAGAAAGACAATATTCGGGCCAAAAAAGATGTTCCTTTTAACCGGAAGTTCGCTATACCTGTGTCCGCTATAAGTGAAGTTTACTGTACATGTAGGTGTTAATTAAATGCGTGATAAATAGAGTGCCTTAAATTTTTCCAATGTTTTTTTTAATAAATGTCTAATGTCAATTTCTCTTTCCTTTTTGCACATTATATGATAATTTCATAGAGAGTTACTAGTCTATTAGTCTGAGTGTTCTGATACTGCACTTTTTGAAGTAATTTACTAAGGGTATACCCATGATATCGTTGATAGACTAATGGATTTAAAAAAGTGTGTAGAAAACGTCCTACAAGTTGACCAAGAATCAAACAAATTTTATAACTTCAGATTTCCAGAGATCAAGGAAAAAGATATTTTGTGGGTGCTTACCGTACCGGCGATCTGGAATGATGGGTCCAAACAATTTATGAGGGAAGCGGCGCAAAAGGTCGGACTTTTTATGCAAAAGTTCTTGTGCATTTAATAATATCTTACCTAAAAATATTGAATAATGTTCAAATGTAGGAACGGTTCTTGAAGAAATTACTTTTAGAAGGGTATTTGTCTACAATATATAAAATTGGTCCCTCAACATGAAGTTTGATATTGCAGATTTGAACACACAAGGCAGCTTAATCGTCCAGGGCTGATTCTAATACCACCAAATCTAATTTATCATATTATATACAGGTGTGTTACAACTTATAAGTTATTTAGTCATATAACTTCAACTGTACAATTCATTAATTAAATAATATGTTATTCTTGTTTCTCAGGCGGGTATAAAAAAGGAAAGTCTGTTGATCGCCCTCGAACCGGAAGCTGCGTCACTATTCTGTATGCATCTTCCGGTGGATAAAATGTCAGTGGAGGGAGATTCGGGAGGAACGACTGCTAAAGTCTCGCCATTCCAGAAGGGTACCAAATACATGGTGGTCGATGTGGGAGGTAAGAAAATCGGCCACGATGTTCAATTCGAAAAAAAAAATGTTATTTCATAAATAAGGAGAAATTATGCTCGGACGAGGA